AAGGTTGAGACCTACAAAGCACATCTGGTGGCGAAAGGGTATACTCAGAAAGAGGGCATCGATTATGAGGAAACCTTTTCGCCTATGGCCATGCTTACATCTATTCGGATCCTGTTAATTGTAGCAGCATACCATGACTATGAGATTTGGCAAATGTATGTCAAAACTGCATTCCTGAATGAAGATTTTACTGAAGATATCTACATGCAGCAACCGCAAGGTTTCGTAGTTGCGGGTCAGGAACACATGGTATGTAAATTAAATAGATCCATATATGGACTTAAGCATGCTTCTAGGAGTTGGAACATCCGATTTGACTCTATTGTCAAAAAGTTTGATTTTGAGCAGAATCCGGATGAGCCCTGTGTTTACAGGAAGTCCAGTGGTGACAAGTTTACGTTCTTGGTTTTGTATGTAGACGACATTCTACTCATTGGGAATGATGTAGGAATGTTGACTACGGTGAAAGTATTGCTTTCTTAGCAATTCTCCATGACAGATCTTGGAGAAGCCTCCTATATACTGGGTCTTCGACTCTATAGAGATAGATCAAAGCAGATAATAGGATTATCTCAATCTGCTTACACTGACAAAATTGTCAAGAGATACAGTATGGAGAACTCCAAGAAGGGAAATATTCCTTTTAGGCACGGAGTCACTCTCTCCAAGAAGATGTCTCCTAAGACTTCTGAGGAGATTGAGGGCATGAAAGACGTTCCCTATGCCTTAGTTGTAGGTAGCATCATGTATGCCATACTGTGCACTCGTCCTGACATTGCTCAGGCAGTGAGTGTGGTAAGCAGATTCCAGGCCAACCCAGGGCAGGAGCACTGGACTGCTGTGAAAAATATACTTAAGTACCTTTGAAGGACAAAAGAGTTTTGTCTGGTATTTGATGAGAATAAAAACTATCGTATTTTTATCCTTCAATATTCAGTCTCTTATATTTAATTAGTACCTAATTGGACTCACTATTCTTGTATTTTGATTTAGGGCACGAAAGAAGGCGTTATGGGAAAAATAAGGCTAATCGGATAATTTTACACAGTTTCGGCACCGCGAGATAATTTGGGAATAACTCTCCCATCCTGACTCCAATTGAGAAGATTCAAGATGCATTGGAAAGATAAGGAAAAACACTACAACTTTCATGTTTTGAATTTTGATATATTCAGACTACATTGAGGTCAAAATCRGGCTCGAATTCTAAGCAAATTCGTAGAGAAGCCCAGTTTGCAGAGAAGCCTTGCAGCGGCCCAATTCGTTGAGGAAGCCCAATATGAATGCAAGAATAAGAAACATCAAAGAGTCCTATCAGATTCAATTTCCTATTGTAATTCTAGAAGGATAAAAGAGGTTAGGATTTTTGTTTAGAGATAAGGATAAGATTAGATCTGAATTAATCATTATCCCATTAGGAAGTAGGACTTTCTATTTTTGATAAAGAACTCCAAAAAGGAGTTGGAAACAGCCCCTCCTCCTAAAGCTATATAAAGGGGGGCGGACTAGCACCCAAGGACATCAGCAACCAAGGAGGAAGAAGCAGAGTTCACCCCCCTCTCATCTGGAAGCTGCGATTTCATCATGGAGTGTCTGTAAGTTTTTATTTCTGGTTGAAGGGTTAGGGAAGCTTTGATTCTTTAAACATTGTGAGATCTAATTGATTCTTAGGTCAGTTCATTGTTTATGGGTATTCATATGTTTTCTGCGATTAATTGTGAGGATTATTTTTATTGATTAAGCAAGAAGGGCCCCTTTCTCATTCAATGCAAATAAATTATGATCGATTGAACCTCCAGTTTCGTATATGATTGGTAGGTTCAATCATGGTGGCAACTAACAGAAATTGATAGCAAAAAAGTTTTCGATCTATGTTAGGAAAATGTATGATCTAGTTTAAACGGTCCGAGCTTGTGAGATCGCTGACCAGAATTGGGTCTCTCCCGTCTTAATGCTATTAATAGATTAAATCCTAAGAGCTTGTTTAGGACTGTCTATTAATAAGAGAAACAATCAAAGAGCTTGTTTTGGTTGTCGAATAATACGAGTAGAGGCTGGCCGTTAGAGCTTGTTAATGGATATAACCAATTTATTCGTAAAAATATGAATCTATCTTTGCATCGAGGATCAATTATAAGAATCATAGCTGAACTTGTCCCTTCAACCGGAAGCTATCTCCCATCGATTTAATCTTTTGCTTTCTGTTATTTTCTTATTTTCCTTAGCTTTACAACCCCCTTACTTCGTTTACATGGAAATAAATCCACCCAATCCCTGTGGAGATGACCTTGCTCATCACTATCTACAAATTATTTAATTGGAGCAAGACTATTTATCTTTGGTTGGATTCGACACCCACCAAATTTTGGCGCTGTTGCCGGAGATTGGCGTCCTAAGTAGATTTATTTCCTTTTGCTTGGTTTATGCCTCGTTCTTCCCGTGTAGCTGAGCTCCACTACGATCCTGAGATCGAAAACACAGTTCGCTGATTGAGGAAAGAAGTCAAGCAACATCGCAACCAGTCAGCATCACTCCCATCTCCCGGGGTGAAGTCGGCTGCAGAGATCATTGAGCCATCTAACCACGCTAAAGAAGAAGTCATGGCCAATATCGAAGAGAGAACTCTTAGAGAGCTAGCCGCACTAGATCTGCACCAACAACCACTCTGCATCGAATATGCAGATCTAGCGGTACCTTTCGAACTCAAATCTGGTCTTATCCACTTACTCCCTACTTTTCGTGGACTTTCAGGTGAAGGTCCCTACAAACACTTAAAAGAATTCCATGTAGTATGCTTAAGCATGAAACCTCAAGGTGTTACCGAGGAACAGATCAAGCTGCATGCCTTTCCTTTCTCATTAGCTGATAAAGATAAGGATTGGCTTTACTACTTACCCTCCGGTTCTATCACCACATGGAATGATATGTAAAGGCAACTTCTTGAAAATTTCTTCCCTGCCTCCCGAGCTACTAACATCAGAAAGGAGATCTGCGGTATAAGACAATTCAGTGGGGAAACTCTCTACGAATACTAGGAGAGATTTAAGCAACTCTGTGCCAGCTGTCCGCAACATCAGATTCCATACCAGCTCCTTATCCAATATTTCAACGAAGGGTTATTGCCGATGGATAGGAGTATGATTGATGCAGCAAGCGAAGGTGTGTTGGTGAACAAAACTCCTACCCAAGCAAGAGAATTGATCTCGAACATGGCAGCCAACTCTCAACAGTTTGGCTATAGGCTCAACCCTCCAGCCCATGCTAATGAGGTAAACATCTCTTTCCTAGAACAACAAATTGCAAGTCTGACCTCTCTTGTCCGTCAAATGGCTGTAGGTAACATGCAAACGGTGAAGGCTTGCGGGATTTGTTCAWCTAYRGKACATCCAAYYGACATGTGCCCTACACTTCAAGATGAACCCTATGAACAAGCCAATGTTGTTGGAGTTTTCCCACAGAAGAAATACGATCCCTACTCAGATACCTACAATGTAGGATGGAGGGAACATYCGAACCTTAGCTATGGAGCCAAGCCCTTCGGCTTCCAACAACAGCATCAACCTAGACCGCCGGTTCCACCATATTCGTCTTCCAACCCAGGTATGTCTCTAGATGAAATTGTTAAAGCACTTGCAACTAACACTCAACAATTTCAACAGGAGACAAGGAGAAGCATCCGAACCCTAGAGAATCAGATCAACCAATTGGCAACTGCTATGAGTCGAATGGAATCTCAAGTATCAGGAAGGCTATCCTCCCAGACCACAGCTAATCTGAAATAGAATGCTAGCACAATCACCTCGAGAAGCGGGAAGGAGCTGAATGAACCTAGGGAAGAAGCATCTAAAGATACAACTAAAGAAGAGAAAGAAAACGAGACACCATCACCTCAAAAAAATTCAAGCGGAAAGCAACCCCAAGCCATAGTCATCACTCCACCTTTTCCTAGCCGATTTGCAAAATCCAAGGAGGAGCAAGACAAGGATATTCTCGAGACATTCCGCAAAGTTGAGGTAAATATCCCCCTCCTTGATGCAATYAAGCAAGTACCCTGCTATGCTAAATTCCTCAAGGAGTTGTGCACTATGAAGAGAAGGCTGAAAGGCGATGAGAAAGTCCATATAGGAGGAAATGTTTTAGCAATTCTCCAAAAGAGACTACCCCCTAAATGCAAGGATCCAAGTATGTTCACTATCCCTTGTAAAATAGGAAATGTCCAGATCGAAAAAGCAATGTTAGATCTAGGAGCTTCGACAAATGCCATTTCCCATTCTATTTACATGACCATGAATCTCAGACCACTGAAAGAGACGGGTGTGATCTTACAACTCACTGATCGATCTACTACACACCTGAAGGGGGTTTTGGAGGACGTCTGGGTCCAAGTTAATAATCTGGTCTTTCCTGCCGATTTCTATGTGATTGATATAGAAGAAGATGATTCTTCCAATCCAACTCCAATTTTGTTGGGAAGGCCATTTCTTAAGACCTCCAAGACTAAAATCGATGTGCATAAGGGGACACTTACCATGGAATTTGATGGTAAGATTGTTAAGTTTAATATTTATGATGACATGAAATATCCTACTGATGATAATCCTGTTTATTCCGTTGATGTGATTGATTCTTCAGCACAAGAGGTTTTTAAAGTTGATGGGAAGGATGTATTGGAAATCACCATTAGTAAGCATCCTGATGGGAATGATGTATTGGAAGGTCATCTCTTCAGTTTGGTGTCTATCACTATTTGAAACAACAACAATATTGGCACTCCCTGCCTTCATATTATCAAATTTCTTTTGAAATCGAAGAGGAAGAAACTCAGGATGCAATTTCCAACACTTGTCTTTAGTGTGTTTTGGTTTCTTACAGTACTCACAAATAATTTCTTTCTTCCCTGAGCTACTTGGAGTCCTTGCAACTCCCATGGGTTTCACTCCCATATTAGCAAAGTGATCATTTAGACCAGCCCCTTGGACCTGGACAAGTCTCATGCATTCTTCACTACTTACCAAGGCATAGGCTTGAGACAGTGAAACACTATCCTTGGATAAAATATTTTGCTTTGTGATGTCATACTCTGGATTCAGCCCTGTCAAAAACTCAAACACCCTGTTTCTCTTAACAAGTTTCCTATAGGTCTCAGCATCATTAGTGGTGTCCCAGGCTACAACTTCTATCAAATCAATTTCTTGCCATAAACACTTCAGTATTGAGAAATACACAACTAATGGTTTCTCTCCCTATCTCAAATTCTTCACATCACTTCTTAGCTTGTAAACCCTGACCACATTTAATTTCTAGGAATAGGTTTCAGCAACACTATCCCAAATTTCCTTTGCTGAATTCATCCACAAATAGTGTTGACTAATCTGCAGTTGCATTGAGTTCACAAGCCATCCAATAATAATATAATTTTCTTGCATCCATTTTTCATATGATGGATCATCTTTTGAATGAGCCTTCTTGCTCCCGGAGATAAAACCCCATTTGCCTCCACTACAGATATGAATTTTTACTGATTGTGACCAAGCCAGATAATTAGTTCCATCTATCTTGACTGTGGTCACAGCTAGTAGAGAGTTTACAAAGGCTCTCAAAACCTGTCTGTATTCAGCAACATGCTTGTTTTCAACTTCTGAAGGGTTCATCTTCTTAAATACTTTGAAAATAACTTCTAACAACTTCGAATAACAACAAATGAAGATAGAACAAAAACTGTGTTGTGAGCCAATCTCTATGTAGTCGTACCATCTATCTGCGTCACACCCGGAAGCTGGGAGAAATAGAGAAATCTCAGTCGCTCCTTGTAGACTTCACAAAACATCAATCCACTTGATTTGATCTTCAAGATGAAGGATGAGAAGATCTTCAGTCATTGAGCGCTCAGGTCAAACTCCCTGTGGAGCCCGCAATCAGATTTCTCCAAAAAATTAGGGTTTTGGGCAACACACTTGAATCTATTAGGAATACGACAAAACCAGTCCCCTTCTCTCCATAAACCACTAATAACTGGGCTGAAATAGGTTTCTTTAACTATTAATACGATTAAGTTCTCCATACACACTGTGTATAAGAAAAAAAGAGGTGAAAAGAGGGAAAAGTCAAACCTGGCTCTGATACCAAGAAAAACAACCTTTTGAAAAGAAAGGACTGTTTAAAAAGATGTAGAAAATCAATAGAAAGTAGCAGAAATCAGGTTTCAAGAAGAGAGAAGAAGAAGAAGAAGGTGCAGCAATTAGGGTTTAGAGAGAGATTTTTGAACATTACCTTCTCTCTTACACCCCTAATTCCATTTCATTAAGTTAAACTTTAATAATTTACAGAGAGGCCCCTATTTGGGCAAAAAATTAAAAAACATAGCACAAGAAAGAATAAAGCCCAGATTAAGGCCCATTACAACAAAGAACATAAAAAATAAAAAAGGATAAACAGCCTATGGGCCATTCAGCCCATCTTCTCTACAGATCTATAACAAACAATGGTAGTATTGTGCTTTTCCATACTTTGAGTTTAATGGAGCAACTCTCTCCAGCACAATTGTGTAACTAAAACTCATGTCTGAACCTGTGCCAAGAGCTGTAGCAGTATGCTTTTGAATGATCTAAATTCAGTGGAGTTATTTTTTTGGAATTTAGTTCTTTCTTTTATTTCTTAAAAAATCAATATGAAGGTTCTTGCAAGCATAAGGCTATGTGGGGGGGATTTTGTTGGCTGATAGATTAAGGATGGCCTCCTTTTTCTTTGCAGTAGGGCATTTGGCTAGAGTAATTAATGGGAGTTGTGGTTCCCACTTCTGGGTCCATACTCAGCCCTTGAAACACCTTGGGGTGCAGGACAGGTTGGAATAGGCCTATTTCCATTTGAACTAACCTCTTCCTTGCCAGCATACCAAGCTACTTGCCGCCATTCTATTGCTGATAGTTGAGCTGGTTTATTACTCTTTGGTCAATTCTGATTTGATCTACCACTGGTTTTACCAGAGGTTTAGTTTCCCTAAAGAAGTTAAGCTTGTCTGCGGTCCTGGGGACTGACATGAAGTTGCTTGGGTAAAGGGATGTTAACCGTATGTAATGGGGTTGGGAAGGAGTTGTTCTCGGCCACCCTCACAGATCACCACATCGTGTGATAGGTGGATACTGGATCCCAATATTCACCTTTGTTCAGAAAATAAATAGACAGCTTGCCTTTTTCCAAGCTAGCACGGTGGGTACTCTGTAACCCAAGCTAGCTAGAGCCTTCATTGGATAAGGAACTTAGGATCCCTCTCCTGTCAGCATGCTAAGGCAATAGCATGGCTGTCATGGTTCTTGTCTTGAGTAAACTCTAACAGAGGGAGGGTTTGTCATTGTAGTGTCTGCTATTTGTTTCTGAAGTGGTAGCTGCTCCATTTTGACCATGCGAAGCTTTAGCGCGAGACCAGGTTAAGTTAATCCAGGGCGGCTGATTGTACTAGGGCCAAGGTCTCATTTCCCATGAAGAAGCAATTCTACCTTGGTCCCTATTGGATTCTGAAGTGGTCCACTGAAACTTGGTGTCAGGAGATGTAGTCGGTGCTTCATCCCTTCTGCTTGCTTGGTTATGTCTGAGCACACCTGGCCAATAATTTCCTTGGGCAACCAGAAATCACCAATGACTAGTGTGCCCTCTGAATCGGTCAGGTCATAGCCAAAGGGGTCAGTGGGGGCATTTGTTTTCGTTAACAGTTTATTTTCTTTAGTTTATTGGTTATTTTCAATGTTGTTCTAGAATAGATAATTGGTTGTTTTTCTTCTTTTTCTCAAATAGCAATATAAATGATGGGTTTGTTTTGTGATTGTTAGTGACGCAATATTTTATTCTATTCTATATCGATCTTGATCTTGTTTTCATTTATGTTTCTGAAGTTATGCCTTGTTGCTATAATGCGTTATTCATCATCACTAGAATTCTAGAACCCACTGTCCCATTAGGAGAGAGCCCGGTACAATTAGAGCATCGGGACTAGTTAGGAACCTGATGAGGCAGGCGGAAAGCTCTCAGCCAGTCACCAACCTGAGAAGCCCTTATGGGTGGAGGCCTGAAGACTGGTGGCCTTTCAACCATGATCTAGATACCACACCCCAAATCCATGCGCATCATTTTTGTGTGCTAACCAAGACTCTAGGGTCAACCACCGTGTGTGTGATACATTTGCATGATCAATTTCAAAGGGCCCTATTAGGAGTAAAAAAAAAGTAAAAATATAAAAAAGGAGAAAATCCAAAAATAAAAAAAAAGAGAAAATCCAAAAAACACAAAAAAAAAGGAAGAAAAGAAGAAAACTACAAAAACAGCAAATAATAAAAAAATGAGAAAATCCAAAAATCCAAAAAAATGGGAAAATCCGAAATAAAAAAGAATAAAAAATCCAAAGGATAAAAATGGAAAATTCAAAAACCAAAAAGGGGGGAAAAGAAAAAATCCAAAATACGAAAAAAAGAAAGAAAAAAAATCCAAAATATAAAAAAAAAGAGAACATCCAAAATCAACAAAATAAGGAAAGTCAAAAATACAAAAAGGGGAAAATACAAAATACAAAAGAAAAGAGAGATTATAAAAAAAAAAAAAAGAGAAACTAAAATACACAAATCTGAAATAAAAAATGGAAGAAAATTCCAAATGATTAGAAAATTCAAAAAACAAAAAAGGAAAAAGGAAAGGAAAATCCAAAATAAGAAAAAAATAAAAGGTCCATAAAAAAGGAGAAAAGTCCGAAACCCCTCCTAAAAAAAGAGAAAGAAGGAAAAACCCAAAATAAAATCGGGGTATCGCAATGAGCTAGCAACCTATATTAATTGCCCGAAAAATCTCTTGGTGATGCCAGATGAACAGTCAGCTGATTTGGAATTATTGATATCGAGAAGTGAGACTAAGCACCCAGTGAAGATTTCAATAAGGCTAAAAAAGGGAAAGCAAATGCTCTACTGTTAGCCGTAGCAGGATATTTGCTCTTTCCTATTGACTTACAGAAAGTGAATCTGGTACTTATAACAGCACTAGAAAAATTCCAATAGCAGAAAGATGAAGAATTCACTCTGGTTCCGATGGCATTGGCTCATTTAACAAAGGGATTGACAAACTTAGTTACAAAGAGCAAATGGCCTTTCCAGGATCCCATCCAACTCTTGCAGTTATGGTTAATGCAACACCTTCCTGCTTTGATAAGAGTGAACAGCTATCAAATGGCCTTTAGACCTATGTATCGTATCAATAAGATTTTGCTCACTCAGCCAAAACCGCGGTTCCAAAATCACCTCTCCCAGAATTGTCAAAATTACCAACTCTTGTTTGTCCACCCTTATCAGGTACGTAGCCTAAAACTCATATGAAACGCCCCATAGTAGATGTGTATATGGTGGCGTCCCTAGAATTGCAAGAGTTGAGGGAGTGCAATGCCCGAGAAAAGAGAAGATCTCTAAGCACAAGGATAAAATGAGTGCCATTGCGAGAAAGGAAATCAGGCAGAAATGCGCATTGGAATCTCAGAATTGTAAGCTCCGAGAAGAAATTGAGAAAAGCCAAATCTTGGAAGGTTACCTCTAAAGTCAACTCAAGGAGGTAGAAGAAGAGAGAGACCGAAATAGTGATCAACTAGCTGAAATGGTTTTACAAAATCTCTCACTCAAAGATCAACTGGAACGAGCTCATGAAGAAAATGTGGCAGTCCAGCGACAGTATGCTGATCTCAAGACAACTATGGATAATTATGTCGCAAATGCTTTTGATGTCATAGCCCAGATGAAACAACGGATCGAGCATCTAGAGTCCGTTTTGAAGAAAATGGGCATATAGACCCTTCATCTCTCCCTTTCCCTTAAGCTACATACTTTTGTCTCTCATGTTTGTAATTAGTTTATTTTGGTGAACTGATGTCTACATATGCATACATTTGAAAATTCAAAGGCTTACTTCATTTTGTTGGTCATTTCTCGATCAAGTTACGTGCCCTTTTATCTTCCGCTCATCCCTTGTAACAAAAGAAAATGCAATGTTTCATGCAAAAAAATATAATAAATAAATAAATAAATATAAAAAATAATTAATAATTAATAAATAATAAAACATTAAATTAAAAAACACAAAAAAGATCAAAAATAAAAAAAAACAACAAAAATAAATAAAAAATAACAAAAACAAAAACAAAATAAGTAAGGAGAAAGTTACTAATTGAGTTTTGATGGCCAGGAGAGAACACCATTAGGAAATCCTAGGCTCACAACTCGGCGCGTAATCACCAGATCAGTCGCGTAACTAATGGCGGAAGAATCACATCGGAATGAAAGTACCATTCCACCTTATTCTACAGATTCATTTGCTACATCGGACTTGAGGATACCGGCTTCGATCCCATACACTGAATACCTCAAACTTCAAGAGCAGTTAGAAGATGTAATAGCCCAGTTCATGGCTTTCTACAAAGAGCATAACCGATCAGCACCATTTCCTTCCTCTTCCGCAAATCCAGATACTCAACCACCATTGTCAGGAACCTCACCCGCTAGCATGCCTCCCAATGCATCAACCCCTAATACCACTTTAACACCCCCTTCCTTTACATTCACCGCTTCATCTCAACAACCCTCACCTCAATCATCTTTCAACTTTGCACCTCCGCCTTCACCAGTCTTTAGTTTCTCAGAACAACCGTATCATCAGCTCTCTTCTCAACCGACCTTTATTGAACAATCTAACCATCAAACCCCATGTCAACCCACCTTTAGCTTTCCAGGGCAGGCCTATACTCGACCCTCATGGGAAGAGTTGCTCGCAAACTCATTTGAAGATCTTCTGTGGGGATATGTTTCAATACAGGTCTGATGAAAAACTGCTAATGCAGATGTTCCAAAAGAGTTTGACAAGTAGTGTAAGAACATGGTTTGCCAACTTGGAGGAGGAGGAAAATCATGGAAAAAATTCTCAGAAGCATTCCTGGACCATTTCTCTTACAATATGGAATTGGTACCAGACTGAGCCGATCTTGATTTGATGAGTCAGAAGTTAGGGGGATCATTTTTGGATTATGCTTATCATTGGAGCGAGGTAGCAGCTAAGCTCAGCCATCCCCTACCTAAAGAGAAAATGGTTAGGACTTTCATTAGGACATTGAAGGATCCCACTCACACATTATTGGTGGCCCAACCATTGAGGGACTTTAGTGATGTTGTCAAGGGCATTTTGAGGATAGAAGAGTCTATGCATCATGGGCGCATGAACCCCGTAATAGCTGGCGCAGGAAACCCAACCGGTTCTACTCCTGGACCAAGGAGACCCTCACCCAGACCGAAGGCTAAAACTGAAATCCATGCAATCTCCACCTATGCCCTTCCCCAAATTGGCTTTGTAGCCATTGTTCAATCTCATCCCTCACCTGTTAGACCACCTTTAGTAGTGAATCCTCCACCTCAACCACAACCACCTAACCCGGTGATGCCCTATCAACCTGCACCTACAGTAAACCTCCAACATCCCCCTCCTAGGTACAATAATGTGCCTCCTATCTATCCCCCAACAACTCCCCCATGCCCTTACAGGAGAAGGAGAGAGTTCACCCAGATTCCATACCCAAACTCCCAACTATTACCCACCTTGGTCCAAGAGGGATATTTGTAGTTGATGAAGTGGAGGTTGCCTACAGAGCCTAGACCAAGGAATTACAATGAGAATGCATATTGTGCATTTCACCAGGGACCCGGTCATGCCACTGACCATTGCTGGCCTTTAAAATATTCCATTCAAGACTTGATCGATCAGAACCTGATTCCATTTAATCTGGTGCTTGATCGTCCTACTCAGCCAGGCATGGGAATAACACAAAACCCTCTACCCGACCATAGAGCTGGTACTAGTTCATCCATTATCATCATAGAATGTGGAGAAGAGAATTTTGTTGATCCCAAAGAAGTCATAGACCCAATAAAGGACCTCATCATCCCAAGCCATCCAGTGGGTCAGCTTGACACCTTTGTCCTCACCATAGAACCCAGAAGGCCTCCCATCATTATTTCTTACCCTTTGTATGGAAATCAATACTTCCCAACAACACTCCATCGCCCACCTCTTAGACCCTTTAACTTTCCACCCCAAAACCCTTCTTTCCTCCCTTTGAAATTTGTTTACCAAGACACTGACCGGGTCCCTAAAAATTACTTGGTGGGGCCTATGGTAGCTCATATGCAAGGTCCCTTCGAAGGAGAAGGCAGGGCCCTACTACGGCTAGGAAGGATTATGCCTTCAAAGGCTGACAAAGGAAAAGCAAAGGTAGGGGAGACATCAGAGGAAGTTAGGTCAAAGGAAAAGGAAGCAAGAGAGGAGGATGAACTTCGAAGAGCTATTGAGAAGTCCAGATACAATGTGGTGGACCAATTGGCAAAAGTACCTACCCAGATATCTATTCTTAGACTTCTCCTCACTTTTGAGCACCATCGTTTACAGATCATGGAAGTATTTCGGAGGGCTCACGTCTTTCCTAGTATTCAACTAGAAAAGTTGGCACAGATGGTTAGTATGATTCTGGTACCCAGGACCTTCACTTTCTCTGACGATAAGATCCCTACAGATRGCACATCTCATAATTTACCATTGTGCATCACAGTGGTATGTAAAGGAATGAGAATCCCCTTAGTGTTAATTGACAATGGGTCTAGTTTGAATGTGTGCACCCTTGGCACCCTACACGCCTTAGGCCTTGGAGAAAAGGATGTAGTGAAGCGACCTATGACCATCAGAGCATTTGACAATTCTATTCAGTCAAATCTGGGGGACATCAGCTTAGACATTACTATAGGAAAGATTACCTAACAAATCAGCTTTGAAGTATTGGATATCAAGGCTTCCTTCACTCTGTTGCTAGGACAACCTTGGCTTCATGTGGCTGGGGCAGTCCCTTCATCCCTACATCAAAGATTGAAATTCGTACATGAGAATGAGCTAATCACAGTTTTAKGGGATAGCTAGATCACCCTTACAGGAGAATCCTTGGTTCAACACATGGAGGAAGGATGCAGATATTATTCATATCAATTGAAAGAAGTGAAATCAATTGAAAAAGTGAAGAGAGAACAAGGAGAAAAAAAAAGAGTTGGCTCCGCATTTGAAGATGATGGCTAAGATGAAATTTAATCCAATTGGGGGTTCGGGGAAGAAGCAACAAGGGCAAAAGAGTCCACTTAAAGCTAGGGAATTGGCATGCAGATTCGACCTTGGGTGCAAGCCTGATGAATATGATTTGTTTGGAAGGAAGAAAAAGAAAGCATCATCCTTAAGCACCCCGATCCATTTTGTTAAGGTCGGAACCCCATCTAAAGACCAAACTCTCAACATCCCARTCCCTTCAACCCAACCCGAGTTTACCGAAATCCCGGATCTCTCTGCCCTCTTTATTGAAGAGGAGGTTACTCACTATATGGGAAAGAGCTTGGTATCCCCCCGAATTGCCGAAGATAGCTGCAGTGACCACAATGTAAATCAAGGTTTGGTCTTCACGATCGATTGGTCTTCCATCAAAGTTCCGAAAGCTGTCATACTCGGAGAAGCATAAGAATCCTATCCTCAACTCATTTTTGAGACCTCAGGTGGTGACATTTGTGCAATTGATTAGGATGACTGTGTCGACCCAACGTATCTTATTCATCCTTGCATGGAAGAAGTCGTCAACTAGAGTGCCCGTCCCATAGTTTTGGGAACCGGCAATGAATCTGAATCTTTCTCTCAGGTTTGATTATAAAGCTAGAGTGGAGGAATCAATGCTCTCTATCCCACTTCCATACATATCGAGAGTTTTTGATACATATAGTTTCCCCTATGATGCTTAGTGTCATTCAAAGACACCTACGGAACTACGTCAGGCCTGATCCTTTTAAAAAGGGTACGCAGTGCAGCCCATATCACAAGCCCAGACCCTTGCATAAATAAATTTTTATTTCTCCCCATTACTTATTCCTCTACCTTTCTTGTTCCCAGGAACCAATTCTTTAGCCATACGATTTCAGTGTTGAGTTAGATTTTGCTCTCATGGGTATTGAACAAGAGGATCCTGATGAGGAGGTTCCGAAGGAACTTCTTGATCAAGTTGAGCGGATTGAAGAGAATAAGCCAAAAGCCGAATCTGAGATAGTAAACCTGGGTACTGAGGATGAACCAAGAGAAGTATTGATTGGAGTAGATCTTTCTTTCCCCAAAAGGCGGATTTGATAAGGCTATTGCGTGACTACAACAACATTTTTGCTTGGTCTTACAAAGATATGCCTRGTTTGGATACTGATCTGGTGGTTGACAAGATCCCCACTTTCCCTACTATGAAGCTGATCAAGCAAAAGATTTGCAAACTTAACCCGAAATGGCTCTTCAGATTCAAGAAGAGGTAAAAAAGTAGTTTGAGGTCGGATTCATAGAAGTGGCTACATACCCAGAAGGGTTGGCTAACATTGTCCTAGTACCAAAGAAAAATGGTAAAGTCCCGATGTGTGTTGATTTTTGTGACCTCAATCGAACGAGTCCAAAAGATGATTTTCCTTTGCCGAATATTGATATCCTTGTGGATGACACAACTGGACATGAAATGTTTTCATTCATGGATGGCATTTCAGGGTATAATCAAATAAAAAAGGATGAATTAGATAAAGAGAAAACTACTTTCATTACCCCTTGGGGACCTTTCTGTTATAAGGTGAAGCCTTTTGGGCTAAAGAATGCTAGGCAACCTATCAACGAGCTATGACCACCCTCTTCCACGACATGATCCATGGAGAAATGGAGGTTTATGTAGCTGATATGATAGTGAAATCCAAGAAAGCTAAGGATCATTTGCAAGACCTTCGCAAATTGTTTGATAGACTCAGGCACTTTAAACTTCGGCTTAACCCTCGGAAGTGCATTTTTGCGACATAGTCAGGTAAGCTGCTTGGGTTGATAGTTAGTAGGAGGGGAATTGAAATAAATCATACCAAGGCTAAGGCCATCATTGATATGCCTCCACCCAAAACGGAGAAAGAAGTTCGGAGTTTCTTGGGTTGTTTGCAGTATGTTCGCAGATTCATTGCACAATTGACCCCCATCTGCGAACCCATATTTAAGTTGCTTAAGAAGATCACTCCGGTAGTTTGGAACAAAGATTGTCAACCCGCATTTGATAAAATCAAGGGATATCCTGTTCATCCCCTTGTGTTAGTATCTTCGATGCCAAGTCAACCTCTCCTTATGCATCTTTTAGTTCAAGAGAGTTCAATAGGTTGTATACTAGGCCAACATGATGAAACTGGGAAGAAAGAAAGGGTCATCTATTACCTGAGTCRAAAGTTTAATGAATATGAAGGTTGTTACACATTGGTAGAGAACACTTGTCTCACCCTCACCTGGGCTTGTCAAAAGTTGTGACACTACCCTATCCTTCTCATATCTACAATGGATCCTTTGAAGTATTTGTTTGAAAGGCCAGCAATTACCAATAGGATTTCCAAATGGTTTATGCTCATATCAGAATTTGACATCACATATGTAACCTAAAAGGCAATTAAAGGTCAGGCTATAGCAGGTTATTTGGTAGGAAGCCCTTCCACTGGTTACGATGCTTTGGTGACAAATTTTCCAGATGAATCCATCTTAGAGGTACATGGCTAAGATTATGAGAGATGGGTTGTTTACTTCGATGGATCCTCTAATTTGAATGGTTGGGGAGTAGGTAATATTCTTGTACATCCTGACGATTTGCATTATCCTTTTGCTATTAGCCTGGATTTTGCTAATACCAACAATACATGTGAGTGGGAGGCTTGTTTGATAGCCCTTCACATGGCAAAAGGTTGGGGTATCAAGGAAGTGGACGTTTTTGGAGATTCCTTCTTACTCATCAGCCAAACCAGAAGTGACTAGGAGGTCTAGGATGATCGGCTGACCCTTTATTATAATTGCCTTCAAGATGTGTTGAAGAGCTTCAGGAGTGTTACTTTTAATTATTTGTCTCATCAGGATAATCTTTTTGTTGATGCCTTGGCAGCTTTGGGATTAGTTACAAGATTTTTGAAATAGGATAATGTTGAACCCATTGACTTGTATAAGGATATGGAACCTGCATATAGGCGTAAAGTATACACCTTCACGGTAGACGAAGAAGAGCTTTTTGGGAAACTGTGGTTCTATGACATTAAGATTTTTTAGGAGTATTAGGTTTTTCCAGAAGGGGCGGATACCAAGGACTGAAGGGCTTTGGGACGGTTGGCTAGCCAATTTGTTCTATCTCAAGGGATCATGTACAAAAAGTCTCCCGGATTACCTTGGTTGAGGTGTTTAGATGAAATGGAAGAACAAAAGAAGTGCACGGTGGAATCAGTAAGCCTCATATGAATAGACACATGTTAGCTAAGGAGCTCCTTCGAATGGGTTTTTTCTGGATAACAATGGACGAGGATTGCTATAAACATGTCAGAAAGTGTCATGCCTGCCAAATATTCAGTAACAAGATTAATGCACCACCGTCAGAATTATATTGCTTTACATCTCCTTGACCTTTTTCTATTTGGGGTATGGACATGGTGGGCCCGCTTCAGCCTGCTTCTAACGGATACAAATTTGTATTGGTGCCTATTGATTATTTTACCAAGTGGGTAGAGGCAATGACCATCGCTCATCCCACAATGAAGAAACTGGTGCAATTCATTCGCAATCATACCACTATTAGATACGGGGTACCTCATGAGAACATATCTGATAATGGAAAGAATTTTGTTAACAGAGAGGTAAAAGTGTTTTGTGAACAATTCAAGATCAAGTAGCTTCATTCTTCTCCATACCGCCCTCAAATGAATGGTGCAGTAGAAGCAGCAAATAAGAACATAGAAAAAATTCTGAAGGAGATGTCCCTTTCTCATATAGAACTTCCATCTGCACCTCAACTGGGGCAACCCCTTATTAATTAGTGTATGGCATGGAAGTAGTGCTCCCTGTGGAAATTGTGGCCTTCTTTAAGAATCTTGCTACAAGTAGAAATCCCAGAAGCTGAGTGGGTAAGAGCGCGATATGAGTAGTTGGCACTCTTAGATGAAGCCCGATTGACAGCCTTGACACATGTACAAGCCTACCAAAGGCAAATGACATCCATCCTGGTGGTCTGGCCCTTCGTAGAACAATTAATTCCAAATCAGCAAGACACTAGGGGCAAGTTTGCTCCAACATAAAAAGGCCCATACATTGTGAAGAGATGTTTGTCTAGAGGGGCCCTCATATTAAGCCGAATGGATGATGAATATTTCCTTGAGCTAGTTAATCTTGATCAAGTGAGAAAATATTATACTTGAACATGCGATTCTTATGTATATGATATATGCTCCCCTTTGAAATGAAAGGAGGCCTACTTTGGTCATTTTTTTTAGCCAAAATAAGTCAAGTACCTGTGTTCATACTTTGATTCACTTGTTAGCCCTTTCAGCTTGTGAATAAACTCTCCTCTTCATGTAAACCCATCCCAATAAGGAATCGCTATGGTGAAACCCAGTCAGAATATTAAAGTAGAAACTCAAGAACTCCTCAAGATTCCTCCTTTTTTTTTGGAAACTTGTGTGTTGGGAAAATATGATTAATTATTGAAAAAGGAAAACGGGGTAAAAAAATAGAGAAAAAGAAGTAAAAGAAGAAGTAGAGAAAGCAAAGTGAAATAAAAGAGGAAAAGCAAGATAAGGAATTCAAATGTGACTAGGCAAATTAGCCATCCTACCTCATTCCTTTCTCTTCATAAAGAAAGAATCTGTTAGTTATACTCCTCTCCAATTTCGTTCTCCATGATCAAGGATTCATATGGCATATACATTTGAAGGGCATCAAAAGCATCCCCACCCCTTTTAGCAATGATGAGAGTAGAGAGAGTGGAGAGAAAATACCAAATAAGGTGTGGCCTGAAAGGGTGAGTTGTAAACCCAAAAAGGGCGCCTCGAGTAAAAGCATCAGGTCATGGCAATATCCAATTTCGCTGGCCCAAATGAAAACCAGAAATGACTCCGTGGCGCAACAATCAGGCGACACCCAGACATGGTGAAAACCTCCATGTGAGGCGCTAGGGGCAAAAGAGGGTAAAGAAAGAAAGAAAGAAAGGAAAAGAGGTCATACTTGGTGTAGTATCATGTCTTCTTTTTGAGGAAGAGGGATGGTCAGCTTGTTTATTACTTCCAAAAGATCCTCAACACCCAATTTGCTATAAAAAGTATAGGCACAAGCAAATTTGATTCATTTGCTCTACCCAAGGAATCTATTAGTATCACTCTCTTTTTYTTTCAATTCAGTTTTTTCGTTCCTCCATATTTGTTTTCACTCACTCTGGTGTTTCAGGAAAACCTACGGAAGAATCAGAATTCTCATTGGGCACAAGAAAATTTTGGGGACGTCGTTCAGGTCAATTGCACAAACATGCCCTCTTGGATCCCGAAGGGCTAAGGTACCCCAATGGTGTTAGATCTTTTTCTTACATGTAAAAAAAAAGAGAGGAAAAAGGACAAATAAAAAAATAAAAAAAAAATGGTGATAAAAAAAAGAAGAAAGAGCAAAAAGTGCTTGAAGATAGTGGACTTAGTATGGAAAACGACAGAGATGTGCAAAAGCCGCATTTAATTCCAAACACTGAAGTAATTAAGAAAGTTTCTCGATTTTCAATTTATACAACGAAGAAAGTTTCATATGCTTACCTTTTAGAATACCATGTGAGGTTAAAAATTGCATACCCTGAATTTTTGTTGATTTCCCAAAATACAATGGATTCTTTGACTTTGCAACATGGCATACCCTAAATTTTTGCTGATTTCCCGACATACAATGGATTCTTCGACTTTGCAACATGACATATCATGACATTTTGTTGATTTCTTGGCATACAGTGGATTCTTTGACTTTGCAAGCATGGCATATCATTTGCTGATTTCCTGGCATACAGTGAAATCTTCGACTTTGCAGCATGGCATATCATGATTTTTTGTTGATTTCCTGGTATACAATGGATTCTTCGACTTTGCAGCATAGCATAGCATGACTTTTTGCTTGTTTCTAGACATAAAGTGGATTTCTAATTACATCGTGGCATAGCGCGCTTTTTTATTGTTTAAAATTTGCATCATGGCATAACATGACTTTTTGCTAATTTTTTGGCATAAATTGGATTTCTGATTGCATTGCGGCATAGCGCGCTTTTTTAGTTTAAAAATTGCATCATGGCATAGCATGACTTTTTGCTAATTTCCCAACATAAAGTGGATTTCAGATTGCGTCACAGCATAATGCACTTTTTAATAGTTTAAAAATTGTGTCATGGCATAGCACGACTTTTCATTGATTTCTCAACATAAAGTGGATTTCTAATTGCATCACGGCATAGCGCACTTTTTTATAGTTTAAAAATTGCGCCATGGCATAGCATGACTTTTCGCTGATTTCCCAGCATAAAGTGGATTTTCGATTACAATGCGACATAACACGCTTTTTAATAGATTAGAATTTGCATCATGGCATAGCATGACTCTTCGCTTGTTTCCCGGCATAAAGTGGACTTCCGATTGCATCGCGGCATAGCGTCCTTTTTAATAGTCTAAAAATTGCATCATGGCATATAATGACTCTTCGTTGATTTCCCAGTATAAAGTGGATTTCCGATTGCATCGCGGCATATGCGCTTTTTAATAGTCTAAAAATTGCGTCATGGCAAAGCACGACTTTTTGCTTGTTTCCCGACATAAAGTGGATTTTTGATTGCATCACGGCATAGCGTGCTTTTCTATATATTAGAATTTGCATCATGGCAAAGCATGACTCTTCGCTTGTTTTCCAAGATAAAGTGGATTTCTGATTGCATTGCAGCATAACATGCATTTTAATTGTTTAAAAATTTCGTCATGGCATAGCATGACTTTTTGCTTGTTTCCCGGCATAAAATGGATTTCTGATTGAATCGCGACATAGCACGCTTTTTAATAGTTTAAAAATTGCGTCATGGCATAGCATGACTTTTTACTTGTTTCCCAGCATAAAGTGGATTTCTGATTGTATCGTGGCATAGCGTGCTTTTTAATAGTTTAAAAATTGTGTCATGGCATAGCATGACTTTTTGTTGATTTTCCAGCATAAAGTTGATTTCCGATTGCATTGCGGCATAATGCACTTTTTAATAGTCTAAAAATTGTCATAGCATAGCATGATTTTTTGTTGATTTCTCAGCATACAGTGGATTTCCAATTGCATTGCAGCATTGCATGCTTTTTAATAGTTTAAAAATTGTGTCATGGTATAGCATGACTTTTCGCTTGTTTTCCAGCATAAAGTGGATTTCTTATTGCATTGTGGTATAGCGCGCTTTTGTATGGATTAGAATTTGCATCATGTTATAGCATGACTAATCGCTTGTTTCCCGGCATACAGTGGATTTCTGATTGCATCGTGGTGGTGCACCCAGGATGCGTCATCAAACACTAGGAACACAGTTTAATAATTTATATTTTTCCAATCCTCAAAACTAAATAAAGAACGTAGCTTAGTGGGGAGGAAGGGGTCGAATCCTCAGGGAAGCAAGGTTAAAAATTATTATTTTGTTCTAGACAAATAAGAAAAAGAAAACAGATTTGGAATTTGCAAATAATAGGAAAATAAAATTTATTAAAGCTGAAATTAAATATTCAGAATTGAAAAAGACAAGAAATAAAACTCAGAAATTAAATAAAACTAAAATTAACAAGAAAATAAATAAAAATATGCTGAAATTCGGATCTAGTGGCAATAGCTGTCCAAGAAGATGAAATACACGCTTTCTCCCTCCATTCAACCCTCCAACCCTTCGAGACATCTGCAAAAGACAAAGAAAAGCAGAAATTAAATCAAACCAAAATAAAAAATAGAAATTAAATTGCTAAAAAAACTGAATAACAAAAAGAAAGAAAATAAAACAAAATAAAAATGGTGGATCAGCTCCAATGGCAGAAGTTGCAGGTTGGACGAACTGCTAGCAGGAACCCCTCCTAACAAGAACTGGGCATCCTCTTTCATGTAATCCTTGAACCCCTCAAGAAGCCATAGCCTTGTAAACTGGGTTAACCAGCCCCTTCTTAAGGGCCTTTGGAGTCTTTTTTATAGAGAAGGGAGGACAAAACTGGGATTAGAGAGAAAGAGAGGGGTAGTTAGTAGGTTTATGC